AATGACCCATCCCGTGCCCTCCCCATCCCCATCCCCACAGTGCCTCTCCCAGAGCCAAACCCCCCCAAATCCCAGTTTAACCTCCCCAAATCCCAGTTTAAGCTGCCCAGGGACCCCCAGTGACCCCCTATCCCCCCAGCGCCTGGCCCACGAGTGCCTCTCCCAGTCCCACCCCCAAATCCCAGTTTAACCTCCCCAAGCCCCCTGTCCTAGCCTGGGGACCCCAGTGACCCCCATGTCCCCCCCAGCGCCTGGCCCACGAGTGCCTCTCCCAGTCCCACCCCCAAATCCCAGTTTAACCTCCTCAAATCCCAGTTTAGCTGCCCTGGGGACCAGGTGACCCCAGGTGACCCCAGTGACCCCCCATGCCCCCAGCGCCTGGCCCACGAGTGCCTCTCCCAGTCCCACCCCCAAATCCCAGTTTAACCTCCTCAAATCCCAGTTTAAGCTGCCTGGGACCCCCAGGTGACCCCAGTGACCCCCATGTCCCCATGTCCCCAGCGCCTGGCCCATGAGTGCCTCTCGCAGAGCTTCGACAGCGCCAAACACGCCCCCGCCCTGGTCCCGGCGGCCCCCAAGGGCGAGGGGGGGGGTCTCGGGAGCCCCCTGCCCTACACGCAGTACCTGCCCCTCATCAAGGCCCAGATCGGGGGCCAAGGACATCCACAACGCCCTCCTCGAGGGGGCCAACAAGATCACGGGCAAGCTGCCCCCCCCGGGGGGGCCCTGAGGGGCCGGGACCCCCGGGGGACCCCCCAGATGCAGCAGGGGGGGGTTAAAGGGGGATTGGGGGGCTGAAGGGCGTTTGGGGGTGGAGGCAGGGGTTCACCCTGGGGGCTCCCAGGGCATCTCCCCAGCTGGGACATGGGGGCTCTGGGGGTCAAGGGGGCTCTTTGGGGTTTGGAGGGGTCTGGGGGTTGAGGGTGCAATTGGGGGCCCTGGGGTTGATTGAGGGTCTGAAGGGATTGGGGGGGGCTTGGGAGGCTCCAGAGGGGTCCTGGACACCCCCCCAGAGGGGGTTTGGGGGGTTAAAGGCAGAAATTTGGGGGATCCTGGGGGGTCTGGGTTTGGGAGGGGGTTTGGAGTCTGACCCCCGTTCCGTTTTGGGGTTTGACCTGGGGGGGGTGATTTTGGGGGGTCTCCACGGGGGTTCTGGACACCCCTCCCGCAAAAGCTCCCGAGGGATAACTGAGGGGATAATGGGCAATTTTGGGATGGACCCCCAAGTTTTAGGGGGGGTCAAAACTCTCGTGTTTTGTTAAATAAATTGACTTTTTTTTGATATGGGTTCCTTCGTGTGCACGGGGGGGATCCCGGGGGAGGTGGGACGTGTCGGGGGGGGTGATGGTGTCACCGGGTGACACTCCGTGACGTCACGGTGCTCCTCAGTGACGTCATGACACCGATGACGTCACAAAATCGCGCAAAACGCTCCGCGCTTTTCTTTTGTCCCCGCCGCGCCGCCGTCGCGCGAGATCTCGCGAGAGGAGGGCGGGAGGTCTCGCGAGAGGAAGGGGCCGTGAGGGGACCCTGAGGGAGCGCGAGCCCGGCCCGGGAATCGCGACAGGGACCGCGACAGGGACCGGGAGGGGCCCCGGGAAGGGGACCGGGAGGGGCACCGGGAACGGCTCCGGCGCGCGGACGGACAGCCGGGAGCGGCGCACGGACAGGAATAGGCCCCGGCGGAGCCAGGCCGGGCCGCGGCCTCACAGCGAGCGGAGCCTGAGGGTGAGGGGGGGGCGGTGGGACCACCCGGGATCCATCAGGGTAACCCGGGACACCCCCGCGATAACCCGGGACCGCCAGGATCCACTGGGGTAACCTGGGACATCCCCGCGATAACCCGGGACCACCTGGGATCCATCAGGGTAACCTGGGACACCCCCGCGATAACCCTAGGACCGCCCGGGATCCACCAGGGTAACCCGGGACATCCCATGATAACCCCGGGACCGCCCGGGATCCATCGGGGTAACCCGGGACACCCCCGCGATAACCCCAGACCCACCCCGGGATCCACCGGGACACCCCCGGGATAATCCCAGACCCACCCCGGGACCCCCCCGGGACAAACCCAGCTCCCCTTAAAGCACCCCCAGCCCCTCCCCAAGACCCCCCCAGAACACGCCCTTGAGCCCTCAGGACCCCCCAAACCCCTGACGCCCCCCCCGGACACCCCCAGGTCCCCTCAGAACACTCTCTTGACTCCCCCCAGTCCCTTGAAGCCCCCCCAGACCTCCCAGGCGCCCCCAGGACCCCCAGCCATGTCGGACAGCGACGACAGCAACTTCTCCGAGGACGAGAGCGAGCGGAGCAGCGAGGGGGAGGAGGGCGAGGAGGGCGAGGTGAGGCCGAAGGCTCAGCGTGTTCGGGGGTCCTGAGCCCCCCGAGCTCGCTCTGAGCCCTCCAAACCCCCTGACTCCCCAAGCCCCCTGACTCCTCTGAGCCCCCCCAGGCCGAGGAGCAGCGAGGGGGAGGAAGGTGAGGCCGAAGGCTGGGGGGCTTTGAGGGTCTGGTGACACCCCCTGAGCCCCCCAACTGCCCCCCAGGCCGAGGAGCAGCGCGGGGGCAGCGGGAAGGAGGAGGAGGAGGGCGAGGAGGAGGAGGAAGAGGAGGAAGAAGAGGAGGAGTACGACGAGGAGGAGGAGGAGGAGGAAGATGACGATCGGCCCGCCAAGAAACCGCGGCATGGAGGGTTCATCCTGGACGAGGCTGGTGAGAGCAGATTCGGGGGGCTGGGGGAATCGGGGGTTTAGGGGATTCAGGGGTTTGGGGAGGATCAGGGGATTTGGGGGATTCAGGGGGTTTGGGGCACCAGGAGGGTTTGAGGGGGTGGATTTAGGGGAGTCTCTGCCCACCCTGCTGACCCCCCACCCCCAGATGTGGATGACGAGTATGAGGATGAAGATCAGTGGGAGGACGGGGCCGAGGACATCCTGGAGAAAGGTAAGGGGGTGCCCTGGGACCTCCCAGGACCCCTCCCCACCCTGGGGACCCCCAGAACCCCTCCCTACCCTGGGGATCTTCCCAGGACTCTTCCCCACCCTCAGGATCCCCCACCCTGCGGACACCCCTTCCCCTTCCCGAATCCTCTTCTCCCTCCCCAAACCTCTTTTTCTTTCCCAAACCCCCTTTTCCCCCAACTCCCCCTTTCTCAGGGGGATCCCATGACCCCCCCAAATTCCCTTTCCCCCAAACCCCTCCTTCCCTCCCCAGACCCTCCATTTCCCTGGGGTCCTGTGTCCCCGCCCCCCACGTCCATCCCTCCATCTCATCCGCTCGCCTGGGGCTTTTCTGTTGCTTTTTATCCCCCTTTTCCACCCCACCCCCTCCCCAACCTTCCCCATCAATTCTGACCCCTCACGCCCCCCCAAATTCCCCCTGTTTTCCCCCTCACCTGGTTTTGCTGTTTATTTACTTCATCCTCCACCGTCACTTTGTCCCCGGGGCAGAGGAGATCGAAGGTAAGACCCCCCCTCACCCCCTTCCACGTGTTCCCCCCACAAACATGGGGGCCCAAACACCCCCCAGCACCCCCCGAGTCCGTCCTGGGGGGGTCCAGTCCCGACCTTCCTCTTCCTCAGCCTCCAACATCGACAACGTGGTGCTGGACGAGGATCGTTCTGGGGCACGGCGGCTCCAGAACCTCTGGAGGTGACTTTGGACCCCCGCAGGAAGCTCCCCTAAGTCCCCATGACCTCAGCCCAGCCCCATTTCCCTCTTTTTTCCCTCTTTTTCTCCCTAATTTTTCCCATTTTCCTCCCCAGGGACCAGCGGGAGGAGGAGCTGGGTGAATATTACATGAAGAAATACGCCAAGTCCTCGGTGGGGGAAACGTGAGTGACCCCCCCGGGACCCCTCTGGGACACCCCCCAGTTGTGGTGACAGGAAGGGGCTTCCTGACCCCCCCAGCCTCGATTTGCCTGAGTTGGGGGGTTTTTCCCCCGTTTTTCAGGGTTTATGGAGGCTCGGACGAGCTGTCGGACGACATCACCCAACAGCAGCTGCTGCCCGGGGTCAAGTGAGTTTGGGGGCAGAAAGAGGAAAAGTGGGGCCTGGGGAGAGTTTAACTGGGGGAGAAAAGAGGGAACTGGGTCAAATCTCCCTTTAGCGAGAGTTAATTGTGGGGAAAAAAGGGCGGTGGGGTCATGCTGAAGGTTTAATTAGGGGGAAGAAAAAGAAATACAGTCAGATCCTCTCCATAATGAGGTTTTATTGCGTCTCTCGCAGGGACCCCAATCTCTGGACTGTCAAGTGCAAGGTGGGTGCTGAGCCCCCACCCCAAAACTCCCCTTTTTGTGCCCCAAATTCCACTTTTTTCTACCCCCGAACCCACTTTCTGTTCCCAAACCTTCCAATTTGTGCCCTTAAACCCCTTTCCCCCCTAAACCCCCCCGTTCCACCCCCTTACTCTCCCCTTCTCCCCCCAAACCCCCTGTGTGCCCCCCCCAGATCGGGGAGGAACGAGCCACGGCCGTCGCCCTCATGCGCAAGTTCATCGCCTACCAGTACACCGAGACCGTGAGCACTGGGGGCACTGGGGGGGCTCTGGGGCTGGACTGGGGGCACTGGGAAGCTCTGAAATGACCCCCCTATATCCCCCCCACTGCAGCCCCTGCAGATCAAGGCCGTGGTGGCCCCGGAGCACGTCAGGGGGTCCCTGTGAGGGGGGGCACTGGGGGGACACTGTGACAGTACTGGGGTGGTACTGTCAGTACTGGGGACACTGGCAGTGACCCCCCTGTCCCCCCCACTGCAGCCCCTGCAGATCAAGGCCGTGGTGGCCCCGGAGCACGTCAGGGGGTACCTGTACGTGGAGGCCTACAAGCAGACCCACGTGAAGCAGGCCATCGAGGGCGTGGGCAACCTGCGCCTGGGCTACTGGAACCAGCAGATGGTGCCCATCAAGGAGATGACTGACGTGCTCAAGGTGGTCAAGGAGGTCACCAACCTCAAACCCAAGGCCTGGGTCAGGCTCAAGAGGGGCATCTACAAGGACGACATCGCCCAGGTGAGGGAGGGGCGTGCCTGGGGCACACCTGGGGGTTACCTGGAGCTCTCCTATGGCTGGGGGGGGTTCACCTGGGCGTTCCTGCCCCCTCCCCCAGGTGGATTACGTGGAGCCGAGCCAGAACCAGATCTCCCTCAAGATGATCCCCAGGATCGACTTCGACCGGATCAAAGCCCGGATGAGCCTGGTGGGTGAGGGAGGGGGACACACCCCTGGGGCAGGGGAGGGGATCCCAGGGGGCCCACGAGTGGATCCCAGATGTGTGGGTGGATCCCTGAGGGGGCTGGATCCCCGAGGGTGAGTGGATCCCTCTTCTCCCCCCCGTGCAGAAGGACTGGTTCGCCAAACGCAAGAAGTTCAAGCGGCCGCCCCAGAGACTTTTCGACGCCGAGAAAATCCGGTACCACCCCCTGGGATCCTCCCTGGGACCCCCCCCCAGGGATCCACCCCCTGGGCTCACCCTGGGCTCACCTGGGGGTCCCACAGGTCCCTGGGGGGGGACGTGGCCTCCGACGGCGACTTCCTGATCTTCGAGGGCAACCGGTACAGCAGGAAGGGCTTCCTGTTCAAGAGCTTTGCCATGTCGGCCGTGGTGAGACCCAAAGTCCCCCTTTCTGGACCCAAAATCCTCCTGTAGGAACCCCAAATCTGTGGCTTGGGCCAAAACCCCCAAGTCTGAGCACAATTCCCCCCAAATTCCCCCCCAGATCACGGAAGGGGTGAAGCCCACCCTGTCCGAGCTGGAGAAGTTTGAGGACCAGCCCGAGG